TATTTCTCACTTTCTATCTATTTATATTCTCTTCATATTTAGCTAGCTAGCTTCTTTTTCTCTTCATATCTATCTATCTATCTATCTATCTATCTATCTATCTATCTATCTATTACCCTCTCTTTATTTTTCACTTTCTATCTATTTATATTCTCTTCATATTTATCTAGCTAGCTAGCTAGCTTCTTTTTCTCTTCATATCTATCTATCTATCTATCTATCTATCTATCTATCTATCTATCTAGCTCGCTTCTTTTTTTCTTTATATCTATCTATCTATCTATCTATCTATCTATCTATCTATCTATCTATGTGTGTGTGTGTTTGTGCGTCATTATCTTTATCTCGTGTTCATCTGTTCGTATTTATGTATCTATTTATGTGTGTACATTTTTGTGAGTCTATTTTTCAAAAATCTAACAATAAATTAAAGAAAAAGATACTGTAAACCACTCACTTTTATGTATGTGTCTGTGTGCGTATGTGTGTGTGTTTGTGTTCATATAAATCCTTTATTGCCACTGTTAACATTTACATAATGCGTAATAAAAATGCTCGCGACTTTGTAGAGCCTAAATAAAACGCAAAATTTTAAAATCTAAAAAATATAATATACTACGCTACTCGAGTTTCTCCCTGAAAGCCATGGATCATCAGGCCAGGGTTATTTTTATATCCGCAGTCTCCGCATTTATCAGGTCATCCCATAAGTTCTGTCCGAATTTTAACTTTTTGCTAAAATGAACAAAAATTAAAGAGTATTTTATAATGTCTAATGGAGCTGAACATTATTTTTTATGTTTAGATGCATTTAAACTGATCAAAATTTATTTCAGAGAACAATAAAATTAAATTTTGTTTGATTAAAACCCTGCTAACATGGAAGTACCCAAGAATCATTTGAGGCACATAATGCTTTATGAGTTCAAGAAAGGAAACTCAGCAGCCAAAGCGGCTAGAAACATTCACTCAGTTTATGGAGAGGAGTGTGTGAAAGAAAGAACTTGCAGAAGATGGTTTGCAAAATTCAGAGGTGGAGATTTCACCCTTGAAGATGAAGATCGAACCGGAAGTCTAGTTGAGTTTGATGAAAAGCTTCTTGAAGCAGCCCTTGAAGAAAATCCTGCTTTATCAATTGGGGAATTGGCAGTGGTTCTCATTTCAAACCATACAACTGTCCATCGTCATCTTCAAAAACTTGAAAAAGTTCCTAAACTTGGGAAATGGGTGTCTCATAATTTGTCTGAAAACAACCTCAAATGCCGTCAGCAATTAGAGCGTTTGAACCAAGCTTTGAGGAAAAAAAGACCTGCTCTAGTGAATCGAAAAGAGGTGATGTTTCATCAGGACAATGCGCGACCCCTCACAGCAAGAATCACGTCACAAAATATCGAAGAACTTGGTTGGAAGAAAATTCCTCATCCACCTTATTCTCCCGGTCTTGCTCCTTCAGACTACCATTTGTTTCGTAGCTTACAGAATCATTTGGAAGAAACAGCTTTTGTAACACAGGAAGAGGTTAAAACACAGGAAGAGGTTAAAACTGACATTTGTGAGTTCTTCGAATCAAAGCCAAAAGAATTTTACAGTAATGGAATTAGTAAGTTTGTTAATAGATGGAAGGAAGTCATAGATAATCAGGGAAAATATATTGTTGATTGAATCTGTAATTAAATGTAACATTTGGTCATTTGTTTTCTTTATTCAAAATTCGGACAGAACTTATGGGATGACCTGATAGTAAGCTTGTTAATAGATGGAAGGAAGTCATAGATAATCAGGGAAAATACATTGTTAATTGAATCTGTAATTAAATTCTACTTGGGTACGTTATATTTACTTATGCTCAAATACGCTTGGGAAATGTTATGAATCCATCTTTTCTCCACACCAAGTGCTGTCCATCTGGATGTGCAGGTTGTTTAATGAATACCGGCTCGGAATTGGATAGTCGAGTCCCAATTCTAATCGGGTTCACTTACGCGCAAACACCCTTGGGAAAGGTATGAATCCACCTCTTCTCCTCTATCTATGGATTAATTAGTAGAAATTGAATCACTAAATCATTATGAGGAGGCACGGTGGAGTAATGTATAGCGGCTTGGATTGAGGAATCGGAGAGCCGAGTTCGTATTCCAGTCGAATCCATTACATTCACTTACGTGCTAACACCCTTGGGAAAGGTGTGAATCCTCTTCGTCTCCCTCCATCTATGGGTAAATAGCAGGACAGACTGGGTTCTATAGCCTTGGATGGCAACTGGTCTAGGAGAAGGAAAACTCTGAATTCAAAACCCGCGGAGGGTGAATGGAGTCTCTCTGAGCCTTGGTTGGCAATCCATTTAGTGATGGTGTCACGATAAAAACACCCTTTGATAGCCCTAGCGAAGCATCAAGAATTCAGCTATTTGACAAGATTACGAACTACACCAATCAAAGTATTAGCTATGACAGGTAAGGAATACTGGAAACGTGTAGTGAGTTCAATCTCGGCTGAGGCCGCAAGATGATGATGATGAAATCATTATTATTCCAAAATTAATTCTTACATTCTAAATCTATTTTCTGGATGTAAATATAATGCAAAAGGTTGATAAGCCTTACAAAAACCCACTCAAACAGTCAATCAATCCAGCATCTTTAGAAATGGATTGTATATATTGTCTTAATCATCTCCATATTGTTTCAGATCTTGACTTTGTTCTCTTATCTGTCAAATTAATGCAAAAAACTCAACTTCATTTTTTTCAGATTTTACATCTCAGATAAAGTTTTCATGCCTTTATTCTTTACATTTCTGATTTCAAACACTGTCTTGGACAGATTAATTCCTTTCATACCTCATCAAGAGCAACATATCTTACATTTCACTTTTCCAGGGGCATATGCTATTTTGTGCTTTGTCGTTTGCACAATTCCTTTTGGATACCCATTCCTCCTCAGTCGTGTCAGATTTGTAAGATTTCTGAAGTAATATAGTTTCTGAATAATATAATATAAGCCTAAAAAACAACAAACAAATCAATAAAGTCGATTCACTGTGTCGTGCGAGACAATTTTTCACTCCGGAATCTGTTTACATATCTATAAGTCTACTAATATTCCCCCATTCTTAGAATATTGCTGGCATATATGGTCCAGTGTCCTTACTATTTACCTGGAGCTACTTGATAAGATCCAAAGAAGAATCTGCAATATTATTGGTCCTGATCTGGTGGCTCGGCTTCAGTCACTTGCCCACCGCTAGAAGTCTTCCTCTCTGTGCCTTTTTTTATAAATACTTTCTTGGTAGTTGCTCAAATGAGCTCTTTGCTATGGTACCTTGACTTTATGAATTTAAGTGGGTACTAGACTGGCGTCGAGATCTTATCAATTTACAGTTGAGCAGGTAGATGAAGCCGTAAATTCTATGCTAACAGTTTCTTGTCTCGCACTTCTCGATTGTGGAACTCCCTTCCAGCTCCATACTTTCCAGCCAAATTTAATCTGAAAAAATTTAAATCTAATGTCAATCACTATCTACTCTCCTCCTGATTACTCTCTTCCCTTTCTGCTAATCATTAATGTTTCTGTTCTTAATTCTTCTACACTCTGTAATCCCTTGTGTTTTAGTGGCTTTATTGCCTTGCTTGGGGTGATACCGATTTTTAAAAAATCTGCCCTTCTGTGCTAACAGTTTCTTTTCTCACAATTCTCGCTCCTTCCAGCTCCATGCTCTCTAGCCAACTTTAATCTGAAAAAAATTAAATTCGATGCCAATCACTCTTCTACTGTCCTCCTGATTGCTCTCTTCTCTTTCTGCTCATCATTATTGTTTCTATTCCCTATTCTTCAAAACCCTGTAACCCCTCGTTTTTTAGTGGTTGTACTGCATTGCCTGGGGTGATAACGATTTAAAAATTACTACCGCCTGTGACGTCGCCCCCCCTGGTCGCAGCGTCGACTCTGTCGTTCGATCTCGTTCGCGGCACCAGTTGTGACGTCGCGTGCTCTCGCGTGCTGATATCCTGGTCACGGACAGCACCAGTTGTGACGTCTTTGCCGCGGCGTCAGCTGTTCGCTCCTCGCTGCTCCAAGTGTGACGTTCTAACCCTTTGGTTAGATGAATACCAGCCTCGCCGTTCCCAACTCGCTTCCAACGCCTGGTTACTAGGGTAACTGCACTGATCTCCGGTCTGCCTACCCACGTTGTGATTAGATCTTAGACAGACGGGATCAAACAGGGGTTGGGGCCGTATGCCAGCTGGGTTCAACGGGGGTGATAACACACAAGTAAAAGAAAAACTCACGAGGTCAGAAATTATTGAAAAAAAAAAGGGTAGCAACCTTTTATATCTAAATGTTCGTTACGCAAAATTGTTCCTACCTCCCGACCCGTTTTATGGACTGTGGCACCAAGCTTCTACTATACAACTTTAAGACTTCGAGTTGCTTGTTCTCTAGAAATTTGCATTTCGGGGTGTGGTTTGGTTTCGACA